GGCCTAATGGGCAACTTTTCTGACAATATTAAAACGATAGGTAATACATTTTGGGGGTAGATATGGATATGTTTTGATGAAAACTATAATTGTTGTACTCATTAACGTGGTTGAATGACGTGAAATTAAAATTGAATAGCTTCTAGTGATATATTGGATGCAGTTTATGATATTAGTCTCCATGTATGATTAGCTTATGCTAATATTCGAAAATTGAATTGGATTAGCTCGCACTTAGTTTACTTTACTCACACTCACACGGGATTATCATAGCGTGCCCTTAGAAATACCAGAAGAGTTATGAGGAGTCAAGAAGTAGCCCTTACTAGAAATGGGTTGATAGGGCTACAGCACTATAAAAATAAATAAAGCCCCACTTCGAAACTCACCAAAAATTATAGTTTTGGCATCAGAAAAATTTTAAATCCATCATCTCGGCCTTGACCATTATGGTCCTAAAAGAAATTTACGATTTCAAGTCATGAAAATAGTTAACACAATGTCTAAATTGTCCATTTCACCTTAAAAATAAATGTTCATGGTTCCGTATGATCCGTACCATTTTAAGCTTCGAATTTCAGTTTGCGTTGAAAGTAGATTTTAGAGCCGATTTCAAATACCCAAGTGCTTTCGAGGAGAGGATTCAATGTGAGCTTTTACTATGTTTTCTTAAAGCCTAGGCCTTGTAGAAACTCTTGGTCATGTGCCACCACAAACGAGAGATAGTTGTCCCAATTTTCAAGTGAATCAAGCATTAGCCAGGAGGACGAGACAAATATCTTTTAAAAGACATATGTGGTGCATCCAATGATTTAAAAATCGGCGAGTCAAACCAGATTTGTCCGGTTCGACTCGAGAATCGGCACAGCCCTTGCCGGTTTCAGCACAAAACCGGGCCGCTCGGTTCTAGAGCAGAACCGAGGTTTCCACCTGGTTCTGTCCGGTTCGTGCCACACACACTCCCACACTTCCCATACGTACATACACATGTGCACTGGTTCTAGCTGGTTCAGGCCTCAAAAAGAGCCAAACCGGATTTGCCCGGTTCTACTCAAGAATCGGCACGGCCCGTTCCGGTTTCAGCACAAAAACGGGCCGTTGGGTTCTAGAGCAGAACCGCTGGTTTCCACCCGGTTCTATCCTGTTCATGCCACATACACTCCCACAGTTTCCATACGCATATGCACATGTGCACCGGTTCTAGCTGGTTCAGGCCTCAAAAACACTTTAACACGTGTGTACATGTCACACATGCAACACACACCACTCCCACATGTGCCACACGTGCGACACGTACATACACGCATGCACGGATGCCCTAGTGTTTTCACACTAGTGTTTATTTTCCAATTACATAGTTATTTATATAGCATATTTGAATACTCATCCTTCGATGTGGGATAATTCCCAAATATCATTAAATGAAAACAGAATGTAAATATATGTTATGAATAGGCAATTTTGAACACATATGTTAAGGAAGCATGATGGTTATCATTAATGTTATTTGCTTTGACTTCTCAAGTTTGAATCCCCCCTTTAGGCAATATAATAATTTATCCCCTTTTGAGCTAATTTTTGTTTCCCATTAGGCATATAATAAATTAAAGTGTTATTTCCAAAATTTGTATGCAATTTATTAATTTTTACATTGATAACCAAATCTTTTATTTTATTTATTAATTTTTAACCAAATCTTTTATTTTATTTATTAATTTTTACATTATAAATCATGTAATGTACTATTTTTCTTACAGTTGTCAATAATACATGTAAATTAGATAATATTATAAAATATTTTTAATTTGTCATTATTTATCTAATAAAATAATTATAAAATGTAAACTAATAATTATAATTTCAGTATATAATATTATAATTAGTTAGGTTGTAATAATTTTGGATAATAGTTAGTTAAGCTGTAATAATTTGGGTTTTTTTAGCGGATTAGGGTTTTTCGCCAAAACGAGATTTTAATAGCCATTCTTTCATTGATTTAGTCTACTCTTTATTATAGTCCATGTATAATTATATATTTTATCCATGACAATTCTATCATTTTTCTTTTATGTGATGCAAATTTAATACTTAAGTTTATACAAGGAAAGAGCATCCCAATATTCACAAATTGATGAAAAAAATGAAAGTTAATAATGTAGTACCCTTATTTCTTATTGGATTTCTAAAAAATAACATTTATAATGAATTTTAATATTTTTTTCAGATTTTTTTGAATCTTTAATCAGATCGATTCAGCCGATTCTCGATCCGGATCGCCGATTCACCTATTCGGATCGCCGATTCGCCGATCCGAATCGATTTTTGAGGTGTCCGATCCGGATCACCGATCCACTTTTTAGACCGTTGAGTGAGAGTGATCTGTCTCATTCAAATAGTGAACGAAGTGCCTTCGTCAAGATTTAGAGCGAGAAAGTGTGACTGACTATGACCCTTCGGGCTTTACATGTATTAGACCGTAATTTTTCCTCTTTCGAAAGCGAGAAGCATTGCACTTCGGGCTTTAAATGGGTTGGGTTGATGTTGAAACAAATCCGACCCAACCAGATAGGGATTAGCCTTGACCCAGACCCCGACCAAATCCCTCAGGTCCGATATGTAACCCCAGATGGGGACCCAAGTCGATCCGTCCGGTCGGCATGTTAACCCAATTGTCGCCCCTAATTGCACTTAGGGGCAACCGAGTGGATGGGGTGTAAAAGAGATGGGCTTGTCTCCGGTCTATCTCAATAGAGGACCTAGATGCAACCGAGTGGATGGGGTGTAAAAGAGATGGGCTTGTCTCCGATCTATCTCAGTAGAGGACCTAGATGCGGACCAGCATTCAGACGAGTCTAGATTCCTCTCATTCTCCGGGGTGCCATCCAAAGCACTTTGAGGATAGGTTTGCACAATCTAAACCCAACCTAACCTAGAATCTCGTAATCCTATAATCACAAGTTCATGAGTCATTCACCTCTTAATTCGAGATATATTTTTTTACCTAATTTTTAGAGAAATTATCACTAATTTATCCAAATTTTTAAAAAATTGAAAAAAAACTTCTAACTTTTCCAAACCTCGACCACACCTTTTTGGACTATTTTCATGTTTTTTCGGGTGAAACTACCTTCTACGATAGTCTTTATATCGTAATACCAATTACAGTATTAAAAATACAACAATAAACTGATAACGGTACTATTAATACCGTTATGTTTTAATTATGCATTGCGTTACTATTAATACTTCTAAATTCTTTTCAGTACTATTTGTACCGTAACACTTATTTTTAAAATGAAAAACAATTACGGTACTATAACTTATTTTTAAAATGAAAAACAATTACGGTAGTACCGTAATCTTTTAAACAATCTAAACGGTACACATAGTACCGTAAATGTTATCAACCCTAAGAAAATGTTATCGGACTCGAGCCCCATCTGGTAGAGATGCCTCTTCTTTTGTACGTCTTTGAGAGATTTCATTCATTGATCGAAGGCAAATCAGACGCGTATAATTGACCTTCCCCAAAAAGCCTCAGAATAAAACTATCTCCTTGGTACCGAGAGAATGGCATAAATTCAGTTTTATATGAAAAGGGGAGAGAGATAAGGGCATAAACGCAGGTTTACACGAGAGAAAATGGCATAAAAGCAAACCGCTAATGGCGCCTTGGTTATTGATTTCAAAAAAAAAGAAAGAGAGAATGGCATAAATGCAGGCTTATATGAATATGGTTGATCCCTCTTGAAACAGAGCAGCACTCATCTGTATTGTTGCTTCATTCTTTTATGCACATCAGAACAATAACAGTAAAATGAAAAAGAAAAGCCGTACTTACTACTTCTCTCTCCTCCACAATTAGAAACCAGAATAGAGCCCTACATTTACGGTACTACGTGTACCGTTTAGATTATTTAAGAGATTACGAGTACCGTAATTGTTTTCACTTTCAACCGCAAATAAGTATTACGGTTCAAGTAGTACAGTAAATAATTTTATAAGTATTACGGTACTATTAGTACCATAATAGATGACTAGAACATACGGTACTAACAGTATCGTTAGTACTGTTATCAATTTATCGTGGTATTTTCAATACCATAATCCTTATTATGGTACAAAGATTACAGTAAAAAGTAATTTCATCCGAAAAAATGCAAAAATTGTCCAAAAAGGTGTGGCCGAGGTTTTGAAAGGTTAGAGGTTTTTTTTCATTTTTTCAAAAATTTGGATATATTATCAATAATTTCTCAATTTTTTAAGGATATGTAATATCTAACATCGAGATCTTGAATACAAATAAATAAATAATTTTTAAAATTAAAAATAAAAATTCTATTAAAAAAACATTTGGATGGTAAACTTCAATTGCACCTATTTGTATTCACCTTCAAGGTAGATGCTTTATACCTCAAGGACCGCAAATATATAAATGCAGTCCCCGCAGCATGAAACAATTTTTCCAATCATAAAGCCTTGGCGTTCTATCAAATGGAACATAATACCAGGGATACAGTTTGTAGAATGTGTCAACCTTGGATAATCAAGGAATGGAACATAATACCAGGGATACAGTTTGTATAATGTGTCAACCTTGGATAATCAAGGTTAAGCGCACCTCCAAAACTCATCGAAAGACACAATTCGAGTGCCACAAACCTCTACCACGATTTGAAAATCCATTTCCACCCCAAGTAATGAAATTTAACCTTAAGATGATGATAATTTACAAACACTTGAAAATATTGAAAAACATTAAATTTGTTGTAAGATGTAGTATTTATAGTTATCGAACTCCTCTTTTTGATATCTATACTTCTCATTGTCAAGTTTCAACCTTTCTCCAGTACTGGAACAATCTTCTGGTGAGTTTTTAGGTTGGCATTATTTTTATAATATACAAGAGTTACACCCTATATAAATTAAACTCCTAATTTGTAGAGACACCCGCCTTTTTCATCAAAAACCTGTGCAAGTCACAAAGAATTAAACAAAACTACCAAGAAACCCCATAATGCATGGGCTTCTCATTCAAGCTCACAATTACAGTGTTGGCGATGATTCTCACCATGGGCAAGAATGATATTCATCAGCTCAGGTGCATTCTCCCTCAGAATTACAGTGTTGACAAGGACAAGAGAGAATGACTCCAAACCCTTGAGGAGTAGAAACACAATCGAAATGTTAAATATCGTCCTGTTTCACCTCTCATTCACTCTTCTCATTCAAGCTCAAACCGGACTCTCAAAACTCAACCCGTGGACCAGAACCCACCAATTTCGTCAAATTTGAATAGAACCCATGGGCTTCTTTCTCCTCGACCTCCATTGCCACCTAATAAGCATCACCCATCGTTTTCCAGGATTCAATGCCCATGCTGCTGCCTCTTGGGCGTTCAAAAGCACATTATAAGCCTTGCTTTGGACCTTATCAGCATCAATCAAGTAAAGCCTGCTAATGTTAAGCAACGCCTACTGCATCATGATACTATAGCACAAACTATCACACATGTAGCATCATCACAAAGGTGGCCATTGCATGAATCGCGTGGTCTAGTTCCAAATTTTCCTCCAATTTGAAAGATGGGTGAATGACAAATACTCACGTTCTCAAGCTATATATTCTACACTTTCAGAGTTTTGAGGGGACTAAAATGGTGAAGAACGAGAAACCTTCTTCTCTTCATCTATAACATCCTCATTCTGTGGCACCACAACGTACTTCGAGTATAGATGCACTGAAGACACAAGCTTCCTTCTCATTTTTAATTTCACTTTCTTCATTGCAAAGAGCTCCAAGAAGTTAGCAGTCACATCCTCAAGCTTGAATCCAATTATGCTGAACTTTTGCCTCCATGATTCGGTAAGCTTCCTTCTCCAAAAAGCTTTTTTGCAAAATACAAAATGTCCCATTTTCTCAAATTTTGATGGGATCGCCTGCAAAATATATTCCCTTTAGGCTACCCCATCTTCATTTCTCACCTTAAAGAGCAAAACCACCAATTAAATGCCAAGTTTGCAGGCTGCTATAGAGTTTCAAGGAATTTGGACTTCTTTTGGCTACAGAGGAAGTTGATTTCATTTGGGGGCGAAGCCTTGCATTGTTTCACGCAACTCATCAACGAGAAGGTAAATATTCAGGTCATTAGTGGAGGGTGGCTTTGATAATTCTATGGCATCAGCAGAAGCCTAATGAGAGCCAACATTTGGTGACCCCCACAAACATACATACCCATGTGTTGTCGGTCCAACATTTGGTGACCCCCATATGGTATTTTCATTTGCAAGTTACATTTATAAATCTCAGGACGTAGGTAGCTTCTCTACAAATGTGAAAACTGACTTGTCTGACTAGTAACCAAATGAGGCTCCCTATATTAGTTGTAACAACAGGCACCCTTCAACTAGATTAGTATCATCAATCATCACCTCCACTGTCATTGAAGAATCTGGATAATGCAAGTTTCAGTAGTAGTAGAGTTTCAAATACCAGTGCCAATCTTCCAGCTGCATAACTCCACGAAAAGCAGAACTCAGAGGTAACATAATCAAGACAATATTTTTAGTCTTCATTAATATTCCTCGAATTTTGTGATAGCAGCCAGTTTGCACCATCTGCACAGTTCATACCGATGATGGGGCAAGTCCTAATGGAAAAGTAATGGCTAGGAGATTCCATAAATGATTCCGGGCATTGCCCTAATAAAGCCCCAAGCATTGTATTACAAACGTTCCAAGGAAGCAGAGGAACTCGAGAAATGCTAACTTTCCATGAAACAAGAATTTGGAGAGTACATGAAGAGTCATATGTAGAGAGAGCTCCAAGCCAACCCTGTTTTTAAAATTAATCCAATTTTTAGAACCATCTGAATTCTTGAATTGCAGAATCCATGACAAATGTAGATACATTTCTTGAAATTTTTTTTTTTTGAGAGAAGCATTTCTTGAATTATTCCCTCCACAACCGATGCCCCAATACTTAAATTCCAAAAATTTCTCAAATAATCAGCCCAACTCAATTTTTGAGGCAAGAATAATAAAAAAAGGTCCAAGAAACAATGAAATGGCAGCTTCCCAATTAAAGAGGCATTTGACGAGGACATGAAAATTTTGAAAAAAAAGAAATCGACCCTATGAATGAGATTTTAATAGCTAATTCACATCACATGCCTTTTAACAAAAGTAGCTGCTACCTGTTGAATTATTATCTAAACAACTGATGCCTCCATCATTAGATTCCATAGTTTCTTATGCAACCAATCCAACCCAGTTTCTAAAACCAAGAAGTAGAGAGCGGAGAAACTTTTGAAGAGAAAGAGCACAATGAGGGGTTAGGAAGAGTAGGTGGTTGGATCTGGTTCAGAATCCAAGTTAGCGAGAGAGAGAGAGTATTCGCATAAAAAGAAGCAATCAAATCTTATTAACCAACAGCTCTCATTTTGGGAGAAATCATCCATTCACAATGTGTGTGTGAGAGAGAGAAGAGATAAATAAGAGAGAAAGTGAAGGCCTACGGCCTGAAATGGGTTTTCACCTTCCCGCACCAGGGTATACTTCCATCCCCAAAGGGGGTGACCAATTTTTTGTGCCTAAGGCAGAAAGTCATAGCTTGGTAAGAGGGGAGTGCATTTTCACTCGAAAGTTTGAAAATCAAAACAAATGGGTGGACTTTCTGCACAAATAAAACACACACAAAATCCTAGACAAAACCTTAACATGGTTAGAATAAAACCAAAATTATAGCCTGCTAATTTGCATTTGTGTAGAGGTTAGCAGCCTTTTATAATCTACTAACCCATATTTTGCAATGCAGAAACAAAGAAAAAATAGAAAGAAGCCAACTCCAAGTGAAATTTGACATACAAATTCTTCTTTTTCAGTATTAAACAAAACAAGCGTCATGGTGTTCAGATTTTAATGGTTATGAAGCCTTTTTTAGATCCGCAGACTCAGTACCAATTCTTGGATTTTCCTTGTTTCCCTTACAAAATTTTAGTAAACTTTCGGCCACTTCTCGGAAACTTAGCACATACTTCTCCAAGAATACCTTCTCCGATAACACACTAACTGTCGATAAATTGGCATCCTTTTTCAGTAATTCCCTTGACCACAACACTTTCAATAGATTAATCCTTGGGATCAACCTTCTCTCTAAACTGTAAATGAAAATATGTGGATGAAAACACAGATATTTCTCATCATATTTAAGCTCATCAACAGAATAATCCATAGTCTTTTGCAACTTCTCTTCTGATAAAGAAAAGATTAGAGGCATTGTTTGGAAAGCAGCGCAAATATCTTCTACTGACCATCCAAAAGTCTTAAAGAACTCGAATTTCCTCTGCCATGTCTCCTTGCTCATTGCACTCATGAATCCAACAGCATGAGAGTACATTTTAAAGTGAGATTCAAAACCCAATTCCTTAACTTTTTCTGTGATTTCTTTAAGCCTACTGAGCTTCCGATTGAACATATGCGGCCTTTGCAATAGGAGCGCTTTCAACTTCAATCCCCCAATTCCGTGGCTCTCCAAGTACCTTATATTGGGCAGCAATCTATTAGACACCAATACCGAACTACAACATCTGACAAACCTTAAGACATTTTCATCGGTTCCTAAATAGCTTTTGAGGAAAAGAATTCTAGGGAGAAGCGTTTTGTTTAAGCTATAAGTAAGAATAGATGGATTGGCAGAGGTGAAGGCCCCAAGTTCAGATTTAGAAAGACCCAAATCTTGGAGCAATTTCAATTTGGGTTTTAGGGTATTCTCGGCATCAGCTACAATAATGTCATGGATGTGGGTTGCTTCGAAACCATTGTTTTTAAGGAAGGTTGGAACAGACAGGGGTTTCTCATCTGTTTTGAGGTGGAGAAACTGTGAAGTTGTGGCAATGGATGATTGCTTTGAGAGCCCAAAAGAGTTTATAAGCAGATTAACCATGAAGAAGGAGAGGAAGAAGTTAAGCTCATGGCATCCTCAGTGAGAGAAGAAGGAGATGAAGAGAGAAAAAGGGGTTTTGTGGAGAATTGTTCAACACAAGAATAAAGAGAGGGAGGAACAACAAAAGAAATGAAATAGTGGGGTTTAGAGAGAGATTGTGCTTTTGTCAAAGCCATGATTTGGAAGGGTTAGAAGAAGATAAACAGTTCTGAGGCGAATACAAATAACACCATTAAGGAATACAAAACGTCAAGAAAACAAGAATCATTTAACCCAACAATGAAATAGAAAGAACGAGAACCGTACTCTGTGGCTTGCTGTAACGCGAGTAACCTGCAGCCTGTACACCCTCTCTCTCCTTCCAAGCACCCCAACTTTCTCTCTCTAAAATGGAGAAGGAGAATCTCTCTCTCCCCTCTCACAGTCTTCTTTCAAATACAGAGGAAGAAGCAGGACTCTCTCTCACTCAATTTCAAACAGAGGGAAATGGTGGATAGGCCATATTGTTGGTGATGAGTGAGTAAGTACTGGTAAGATTTCATGAGTAAACTTTGTAGAGAGAGAGTGTGTAGCCATGACCCCTTGAAGAGTAGGGCTAGGGGTGATCATTCGGCTCGAAAGGACGGACGGCTAAGATCGTAGGACGAGAGATGGAATGGACGGCCGACGATGGTAGGCTAATTGCAAAATTTACGTTCATGAGTTAATTTTTATGGGAAAATTATGTACACATCCGTTATATTTTTCGTTATTGCAAACTATCGAATAGTTTATGTTGTTATCTACCTATCCGTATTTTTTACATTTAAACGAAATTTAAAAACAAAACACAATTTTATAATTTTTTGTTTGTTCAAATAGCGAATTTATTAAATTTTATCGTTTTCAATCGTTGAACAACCGAATTTATAAAATTAATAACCAAAAATAGGCCGATTTCGATTCCTCGAGATCCTAAAATTTTACTTTTGTGGTTACGCGTAGGCAAGACTTTCTCTCTTCTCTCTACATGCCCTCTCGTACATTCTCTCTATTTCTCTCTAACAGTCCTGTCTCTTTCTCTCCTCTACCTGCCATCTCTGTTTCTCTCCTCCACTTGCCATCTCTCTCTACTTGCCCGCTCTCTCCTCCACCCTCCATCAGATGTTAAGCCCAAATCCACCTCTTTTACAGATAAGAAAGCTTGTTTGCTACAGAGCCTCAGATCACAAGCACTGATCAAGTCTACCGCCCACCTATGCAAGCTCCATGGATTGAAGCTATAACAGGTTTTTGATAAAGCTCGATAGCTGTAATGGCAGCCTGCATCTCTTTAATGGCCTGCCCAAGGGCCTCTCAGGCCCGACCTGGGTCGTGGGTTTATTGGTTTTGGATAGATGTCAGAGCAAGAATGTCTATTCCGGAGCAGAAGTGGTCGCCATTAGAGGCTAGTATAATGAGTTTTGCAGATGGGTTTTGGTCGAGGAGAGAGAGGGCTTTGGGGAATTCGTTGAAGAATTGGGGGTTGAGGGCGTTTCTTTGAGATGGGTAGTTGAGGTAGAGAGAAAAAATACTAGAGTTTGGAGGCTCGGATTGGATCACGAATTGGGGTTCCATGAATTCCTAGAGAGAGAGAGAGCAAAAAGGAAATCAATGAAAAAACAGATAAATCTTTGGATAGAAAACCAAAGAGAGAGAGAAACGAGGGAAAAGATGAATAAGGTTTTCTCGAGATTGGGACTTTGAAAGATGGAAGATGTTTCCTCTGTTGGACTTGGATATGGGCTGATGAAAATAAGAATGCTTATTTGAGTTATGGAGAGACGGTGGGTGCAGGAGAGAGAGGACGTGTAGAGAGAGATGGCGGGTGGAGAAGAGAAAGAGAGATGGCTGTTAGGAAGAGAAACAGAGAGAAAATGCGAAAGGGCATGTAGAGAGAGAAAGGGAGAAAATGTTGCGTATTACAAAAGCAAAATTTTAGGTTATTCAATAATCGAAATTAGCTTATTTTTTTGGCTGATGAACAATCGAAAATCTTATGAATTTGGTTGTTCAACAATCAAAAAGAATAAAGTTGTCTATCTTAAAAACTTTCTGACGTGAAAAAAACGGATAGATAAGTAATAACGGAAATTATTCGATCGTTTTGTAATAATAAAAAATATAACAAACATGTATGCAATTTTTTCTAACTTTAAAAACAGGCAAATACATAATGAGACTATTTTGTCATTTACCTTTGATATAAGGTTCGTCACATTAATTTTGATCATTGGATGTGAAATTGGGTGGATGCAATTATTCTATTGATCATGCTTAAACTTTAAAAGAAACTCTTTCGAACTTTAGGACACATCCAAGCTATCAAATTTCACATCAAATAGTAGTAAAGAATTTTGTAAATAATCTCATTTACAATTTGTATAGAGCCGAGGTTCTAAACAATCAAAGTAAAACACACTTTCAAATAGTATCAAGAAATGTGGTTTAAATATTGGAAATCTTTGTGATAGTCTTCAAATATATTTTCATCTTTAATTATAAAATTTAAAACTTAAAAAACAGTGCATATCGAGAAAATCAATGAAATTGATAATCTTGAAAATTGGCGGTTCAAAAATACGTTACAAGATGCACTATTTTTGAAACTTGAAATCCATTTTTTTCTCATGTCGATTCATCTTGATATCGAGATGATCAATTTGAGGATATTTGGGCATCAAAACAACATCTTCTAGTGAAATTTTTAATGTAGGATCTAATTTGATTGTTTAGAGCCTCTGGCTATGTAGAAACGTTTTCCTTTATAAAATTCATTTCTTTCGTATGTTGTGGTCTTTACTTTCATTCCTCCTTTTTCTCAATTTTTTATTTTTCCTAAAATGCTTTCGCTTGTGGATCTCCACTTCCGAATCTTGAAATTCCAAAATGATTGACTTATCGAGGTTCCTAATAACTTTTATTTTATTTTATCTTTTTTTTTTTTGCTATAATTGGAATCTTAATGGTCTAATGACAAATTTTCAAAGTGTGAATTGAAAAATTCATTAAACTAAGTCAAAGTCTTTATGTGACCAAGGCTTAAAGTTTTTGAAATAATTTGAATATTCAATGTCTAAGTTTTTTCTAACAAGTTTTGACTTCGAAAACACTACTTCCAAAATTTTTAAGTGGCTTCCAAGATCTGAATT